CCCCAATATAGATTTAAAGACTTCTTATACCTAATACAATAATATGACTTAGATTTATGATGTATTTTGTGAATTTTTGGTTTGTTTGTGTTTTATGTTCTATTTACAGCTATGGTAATTAAAGAGGGTGCCAGGTTTTGCAGGTTTAGTGACTACTCCTTGTAGGCCTCGGATCCATGACCCAGCGGTGGAGGGCTAGTGATTGTAGAAAAAGTGGTGTTCTTTATGTTTGAACATTGACATCAATGCCATTTCTAATAATCTTAAATTTGGGTCAGGGGCAGTTGTTTTCTTTCAATCTTTTACTTTTAAGTGTTCCCGGTTTCACAAACTATATTTCCAACATAATGTTTTAATTTTAAACATTCATTTTTTTTTTACAATTTTTACTGGGCATCACTAGATTTTACACGTGTAATTGGACAATAATCCATATTAGGCGAAAATCCTTAAAATAGGAAGTAGAAATGGATGAAATTCAGGTCCATACATTTCAGACTGTATATATATCGCTGTGTATAGTACATGTGTGTGTAATATGTGGAAGCTTTGATCTGCTACCAGATCAGTGCATGGTACATCTGTACATATATATATATTATGTAAATTTAATGTTAATTATGAACACCATCATGCAGGGGGCAACTTTCAGATCACATGCATATTCATGAGTATAATATTTGCATATTCAAATTCACATCTTGGTCACTGTTATAAAACACAACCGCATTTCCATTTTAATTCAGAAGGAATTATTACCTAACCATGCAAAATATGACACAATTGTTAAAAAATGGGTTTATTTCATCAAGGAGAAAAAAAAAGAAAAAAAAATTCCTTATTTTGTAACAAAATTGAATGATTTCATTCACGCAAAAACCTTTGACCTCCTTGAAAATAGGGATGATAGCATCCTTATTAACTCATTCACCCCTAAAGACACATTTGAACTCTTCCAATTCAAAGGTTGGAATAGTTCATTATGAGATTCCAGGGGTGAATGAGTTAAAAAATGGGATGCTTTCATCCATGAAAGAAATGCATCCTTGTTACAAATAGGAGAATTCATTAGTACAGTGTTTGCATGCTCTGACAGGGTGCGGAATATACTGAGGCAGCAGGGAGTCGTCACAACACCCCTTGTCCTTAAATAGTAGCACACCTAAGTGTTAATAATGGAAGGAACAAAAAATATACCCAGAATATCTACAACAAACAATAATACAAAAATTAATGGAGAAATTGGGGGGAAAAAATATCATTTTATGAATATCTATGAAAGAACTTATTTAATTTATTTTCAAATCATTTTTAAAAACAAATCTGTATTTTTATTTTTAATGAATAATCAAAGATTTAGACAAAACTAAAAATTTAATAGATGTTTTAAGCAAACAACAACACTAAAAATTTCAAAGAAGATAGAAAGAAAAACATACAAATCAATCATTCACAGAATTTTTAAATTCATTTCTCGATATCTAAATCACAAGGTCTTAACGCCAAACACTGAATCTGTCACAAGACAATAGCATGCAATATAGAAGTGGCCTACAAAACCTAACAAGAACTCCGGGCCTTCCCACTTTTCTTGGGTGAAAACGAAACTCCAGAACAAGGTATTACCATTTCAATGTCTGACATTTTTATTGAACAGATACTCTTAGGTACGGTAATTAAATAGCCATTGTTCCATCAGTCCCTCCCAGCCCACAGAAATGGTTTATCTGGTATAAAACAAATTCAATATTACAAAAGATGGTCAAAGAATTTTTCACATGAAAAGTGACAAAGGTGAAAATGGCAAAATTAAATGCTGAAAAACAAAAACAACATTAAAATTTCATGCATTTATAAGTAAAATGGTCTCCTTGCATGCTGCAACATGAGGCAAAATTTATTAATAGGTCATTCCCATGGGGAGGGGTATGGGGGGTAGGGCAGCAAGCCTTATATGGGCGTACGACAAGGGGAGCAGAAATAAAAGGCACACACAACAGATTAATGTGCTACTTACGGAGGTGATGCACTGGAAGCAGGAAATGGAACGGCAGTTAGTGATTGGACAAAAATACCAAATGTAAAACCTCGCCCAATACATTTGTTGTTCAGTTTATCAGATACTCCACTGGTTATTTTTAGATACATGTTGACCACTGCTGACCATCAACGAACCAGAAGAAATGGCAATTATTGTAATTTAAATCATCTTGTATTGGATGACCTTGATATTTGTCTAATTGTCAATGAAAATAAAATTAAAATCATGGGCGAAGTTGTTTATATCGAGAGTAAAAATAAACTTTCTGCTTGTGTGTAAGCATTTTTACTTGATAAAAATAAATATTTTGGTTTAAAACATTTTTTTTTATTTTTTTTTTGAATTTATATTTCCACACATTTATAGATCCATACAGTTACTATGCATACACAATTTACATAGATATATGCATAATATTATTTTGAAAAAGAATTTTTCAAAAAAGATTAGTATTCATTTTTTATCAATAAATTAAACAGGAAACAACCAGTGGAGTACATATTGTATTGTCAGTAACCAGAAAGTGTATCAGTGAGGCACAGCAAGTCCACAGATACTAGAACAGGACAATACAACACTTAAAATTTACTATTTACTATAATACCTAATAGACGTCGCTCATATAATATTAGCACATTAAGGTGTGCTGTAGTTGTCATCAAAGTCTACAGTTAGGACTAAGTAGTAACTATTGAAATATTAATGTATAATCATAGTAAATGAAACATAAAATTACCTACAATTGTATATCTAATATTAGCACATTTATGTGTGCTGTAGTTCTAGTTGTCACCATAGTCTACAGTAAGGACTAAGTATAAAGTAACTATTGAAATATTGATGTATAATCATAGTAAATGAAACATAAATTACCTACAATTGTATATCTATATGATGGCAAACATGTATAGAGAACCTACATAAAATCTGTTTCATTTGTATAAATATGCTGTTGGCCTTAGTTATTCCATATAAATCAAATATATAATAACACAATAACATGTCTTAAAATGAAAACACATAGGATTGGACATTGTATAATGTCAGTCAAAATATCTACAGGAAACCCTTGTTATACTGCCACCACCAGAAACTGACATTATAAAGGGGTTCCAGAATTTTTGAAAAAAGGGGACCTTGAAAAGTGACTTTGCAAATGAAACGAAGGACATTGAATTCAGGTATTATTACCGAGGTATTGTCACCTGACGGATCCAATGTTTTCATGTAACACGTATTTGTTACAGTTCAGAGTATTGGGTATATTATTAATCATTGAATATATAGAGCTAGAGTTATAATACCTTGGCAAATCTCCAAAATTTCTATCAAGACATGAACATAGCTAAGGTATTGTGTTTTCCTTGATTGTGAAGTGTGTTATTGAGTACAGCTAAAAATAACAAGAGGCCCAGGGGCCTTAATAGCTCACCTGGTATTTTATTTTTCAATTTAAAACCTGCTGAGTACCATTCAGGTTTATCAAAGGAGTACAAGTAACAAAGTTGCATCTTCCATTTATAAATATTCAATTCCCTTTGCCCAAAGATTCTCTAAAACAAGTTTGGTTAGGTTAAAATCCCTTCAACGGTACAGAAGGAGAAGGATCTTTAATGTTTTCCTCTATTTCCCCTAATGGGCCCCACTAATCTGCCCCAAAGAAGGGGAATCCACACACCTCAGTTTAAACAAAATTGATTCTTTTCTCCCTAAGCATGCTTCAGACTGCATTTGGTTTAAATCCCTTCACTTGTATAGTAGGAGAAAAAAAATCCTCTATTTCCCCTATTGGGCCCCGCTCCTATGCCGCCAGAAGGCCCACACCCTCCGTTTATACAAACTTGAGTCTCCTTTGTCCAAAGATGCTCTAGGACAAATTTGGTCAAAATCCTTCAATTGGTTGAGGAGAAGATTTTTAAAGATTTACCTATTTTCCCCTATTTGGCCCCGTCCCTCTGCCCCCAGGGGGACCATACCCTCCGTTCATACAAAACTGAGAACCCTTTGGCCAATGATGCTCCAGACCAAATTTGGTCAAAATCCCTTCATCGGTACAAAAGGAGAAGGATATTTGATGTTTTCCTCTATTTCCCCTAATGGGCCCCACCCATCTGCCCTTAGAAGGAGGCCCACACACCTCAGTTTATACAAAATTGATTCTTTTGTCCCTAATCATGCTTCAGACTGCATTTGGTTAAAATCCCTTCACTTGTATAGCAGGAGAAAAAAAATCCTCTATTTCCCCTATTGGGCCCCGCCCCT